CGTTGAGACCCATCCCTGGTCAACATGGTGAAACCCACATCTCTACTAAAATACAAAAAAATTAGCCGGCCATGGTGGCGCACGCTTGTATTCCCAGCTACTCAGGAGGCTGAGGCAGGGGAGTCGCTTGAACCAGAGAGGCGGAGGTTGCAGTCAGCTGAGATCTTGCCACTGCACTCCAGCCTGGCCAACAGAGTGAGAACTCAGTCTCCAAAAAAAAGCCAATGAAGACCAGGAGCGGTGGCTCACCGCTTGCAATCCCAGCCTTTGGGAGGCTGAGGTGGGCGAGATCACCACTGAGGTCAGAAATTCAAGACCAGCCTGGCCAACCCGTTGAAACTCTGTCTCTACTAAAAATACAAAAATTAGCCAGGTGTGGTGGGTGCATGCCTATAATCCCCAGCTACTCGCGAGGTGAAGGCAGAAGGAATCACTTTAACCCCAGGAGGTCGAGGCTGCAGTGAGCCGAGATCATGCCACTGCACTCCAGCCTTGGCAACGGAGATCCTGTCTCTAAAGAGGAAAAAAAGGGGGTCCAGGCACAGTGGCTCACACCTGTAATCCCAGCACCTTAAGACTCCGTCCACCAAAAAAAAAAAAAAAAAAAAAAGGGAGACAGAGACAGAAAGTGGAAAAACAAAAAACAGAATGGAGCATCCAAAATGAGGTATGTAACAAAAGTATAGCTGAAATCTCAGAAGAGAATGTATCAGAATATTTCAAGATAATGGCTGGGCCAGGTGCAGTGGCTCATTCCTAAAATCCCAGCACTTTGGGAGGCCAAAGAGGGCAAAATACTGGAGGTCAGGAGTTCAAGACCAGCCCTGGTCAATATAGTGAAACACCATCTCTAATAACAATACAAAAATTAGCCAGGTGTGGTGGCCCGCACCTGTAGTCCCAGCTACTCCAGAGGCTGAGGCAAGAAGTATTTGAACTCAGGAGGCGAAGGTTGCAGTGAACCAAGACAGTCCACTGCACTACAGCCTGGGTGACAGGGCGAGACTCCATGTTGGGGGAAAAAAAAAAAAAAAAGACAACGGCTGAACAGAAAGTAAAAGAGAAAGAGAGAAAAATAAAGATAATAGCTGAAAAAAATTCTAAAAATAGTAGAAGACATCAAACTAAAGATCTAAGAAGCTCACATGAAGCAGAAAAAATACCACAAAAAAAATATGATCCAGACTTTCAAGAAAGCTTCCAGTCACCCTGAAAAGGTCATCCACACAGGAACAAAATAGCCAAATGGCAACTTATGTAGACTAGGATTCCCCATCCTCCTACATCATGCCATCCCACAGGGCCCTTTGATAATTGGCACAGCCTCTTGAATCTATGATCCAATGCTGAGATAGCTGGGGGTTAGAGAACAATGAAATAACCAAGATTACATTTTTATCATCCAGATGGAATTAAGATTTATAATAGAAAGCCAATTGAATATTTAAGTATAAATTCTACAAAATTGAATTTATGGACCTATTACTTGTGCCTTCATTTTTTTAAATAAGTTCATTTTTCAAATAATTTTTCTTTAAATGAACACACACTGCTATGGATCAAATATCTGTGTCCTCCTAAAATGCAGGTTAAATCCTAACTCTTAATGTGACAGTATTTGTAGGTGGGACCTTTGAAAGGTTATTAGGTCATGAGGGTGTACCTCATGAATGGGATTAGTGCCCTTATAAAAGAGGACCCAAAGAACTCCCCTACCCCTCTGCCATGTGAGGACAGAGTGAAAAGATAGCCGTCTATGAACACGGAAGTGGGCTTTCACCAGACCTTGATCTTGGACTTCCAGCTTCCAGAACCATGAGAAATAAATTTCTGCTGATCATAGACTATGGTATTCTGTTTTAGCAGCTCAGACTAAGACACACAGTAAGGTAGGACTGTTTGTTCCATGAGGGCAGAATCACATTCATCTCATTCAGTACTGTTCCTACCACAAGAGTGTCAGATACATAAGATCAATATGTATGTGTTAAATAAACACGTTGGATGTTAATGGAAATGTAAAAAATTTCATTAAAGTGAAAACATGTTTTTTTTTTTGAGATGGAGTTTTTGCTCTTATTGCCCAGGCTGGAGTGCAATGGCACAATCTCAGCTCACCATAACCTCTGCCTCCCAGGTTCAAGTGATTCTCCTGCCTCAGCCTCTCAAGTAGCTGCGATTACAGGCATGTGCCACCATGCCCAGCTAATTTTGTGTTTTTAGTAGAGATGGGGTTTCTCCATGTTGGTCAGGCTGGTCTCGAACTCCCGACCACAAGTGATCCGCCCGCCTTGGCCTCCTAAAGTGCTGGGATTACAGGCGTGAGCCACCACGCACAGCCGAAAACATATTTTAAAGAAAATAATTATTCTCACATGTATCTGTTCTGTAATATTTTTGCATTGACTTCTCTTGAAAAGATACATACCTAAACAAAAAGGTTTTATTATTTAGCATAAAAATGAATATGTTGGCTGGGTGCGGTGGCTCACATCTGTAATCCCAGCATTTTGGGAAGCTGAGGCAGGCGGATCACGAGGTCAGGAGATCGAGACCATCCTTGCTAACACGGTGAAACACCATCTCTACTAAAAATACAAAAAATTAGCCGGGTGTGGTGGTGGGCGCCTGTAGTCCCAGCTACTCGGGAGGCTGAGGCAGGAGAATGGCGTGAACCCGGGAGGCGAAGCTTGCAGTGAGTGGAGATCACGCCACTGCAGTCCAGCCTGGCTGGGCGACAGAGCGAGACATCGTCTCAAAAAAAAAAAAAAAAAAAAAAATGTTATGGTAACATAACAAAGTGGGGAACATTCAGGGTACATGAAAAATAATCACAACCACACATCACTGCTATTACAACTATTACATTTCAACAAGAAAAACTGCTATCAAACTTCTAATAGAAAAAAAATTGTTTCATTTAAGCTATAGGCATTAAGCTGTCATTTAGCTTCAATTTTGTTTCAATAATACAGTGTTTTGTTGCTGTTTTTGAGATGGAGTCTCGCTCTGTCGCCCAGGCTGGAGTGCAGTGGCACTATCTCAGCTCACTGCAACCTCCAAGGTCTCCCCGGTTCAAGCGATTCTCCTGCCTCAGCCTCCCTAGTGGCTGGGACTACAGGCATGTGCCACCACACACAGCTAACTTTTGTATTTTTAGTAGAGACAGGGTTTCCCCATGTTGGCCAGGCTGGTCTCGGACCCCTGACCTCAGGTGATCCACCCGCCTCGGCCTCCCAAAGTGCTGGGATTACAGGCATGAGTTACCATGCCTGGTCGATACAGTGTTTTTTTTAATGCACATGTGTTCCTAGAAAGATCATTAATTACTTAAGAGCAAAAGTAACACCTTAATTATATGGGCTTTCCTATGTTTATCCCACACCTCATCTAAGGATAATATAATGGACAACTGGAAGTAAAACAAAATCTATCTCTAAAAAGTCAACAGGGAGATCACCAGACCAATATGCTATATTTAAGCAAAAGTACCTCAGGCTTTCACTCAGAATCATTTCTATACATGTAATTTACACACAGGTCAAATTCACAAAATGACAACAAAATAAATAAATATCAGATGCCTACTCCATAGAAATGTAAGGAAAACAGAAGTCTTTAAAAATGTCCAATCATCTCTCAACGAATTGCCAACATCTATTTTTACTACAGGCTAAAAGCTTGGGACCTGGGCTCCTGCTACTCAAGAATGCCACCTACACCAGCAGCAGCAGCTGGCAGTTTGTTACAAATGCAGACTCTGGAGCCTCACTCAGGACTACTAAAACAGAATGCACATTTGAACATCCCCAGATGATGGATACTGAGAAGCATACTGAGAAGCACTGACCCAAAGGCTAGATGAATGAAAGATAAACCAAGCAGCTTCTAATGAGAACACTAGCTACAGTAAAGTTTATATAAATTCCAATCACCCTTAAAGCAAACCAGCCTTAAATACATACCCATCCTCATAGTTCCACATGAATATATCACTGTCAATTGTGAGCCAGGCTCTGCTGATAGGAGGGAACACACCCATCATGCAATTACACTGCATATCTGAGGCAGTGTGGATGTAAGGCAGACAGAGTTGAATCTTATTTTTCTTTAACTTGTTTCAATAGCTTTTGACTTAATATTTATGTAAAAAATCACTGTGTCCACTCTTTAATACAACAAAGAACCCATATACTTAAACATATTTTAAATAAAACCCTTAAATGAATCGATATACAACACATTAATTAAACATAGAACAAGAATTATAGCAATGAAAAATACCAATTTTAACATTTTTAAAATAAATACAAAGTAATAGGATACGTCCAAACTGCTCAACAAGTTCAGGTGGGAGAGGAACTCTTCGGATGGAACTGATCTCTGGAAGGTTGGGTACAGACAGCAAACCAGGTCCTTGTAAAGGATAATCCATATCTGACATGCCAGAAACAGTGGGATTATCTACAAAAAGAAAATGAAGCATTTATAATAAAATACTGTTTATCAACCGGGCATACGAAAGGACTGAGTGCCACAAAAAAATTTCGTGTGCTGGTTCCAAAGGTACAGAGAGAATATACTAGTTTTGACCCGACACAAAGTAGGCCTGAAATATTCCATTGTTAAGGTAGGAACAGTTACTGGTTTCAAGCCTGAAGGGAAAGTTGTATCTCACAAAAACTTGCTCTATAACAAAGGAATATTTAAATTTGATAATTTAGTGTTATTTTAAAATAAAAGTGGCTGGGCGCAGTGGCTCAAGCCTGTAATCCTGGCACTTTGGGAGGCTGAGGCAGGAGGATCACGAGGTCAGGAGTTCAAGACTACCCTGGCCAACATGGTGAAACCCCGTCTCTACTAAAGACACAAAAAAATTAGCCAGTGTGGCGGTGTGCGCCTGTAATTCCAGCTACTTGGGAGGCTGAGGCAGGAGAATTGCTTGAACCTGGGAGGCGGAAGTTGCAGTGAACCGAGATTGGGCCATTGCATTCCAGCCTGACTGACAGGGCAAGACTATCTCAAAAATCATAATAAATAAATAAATGAATAAAATGAAAGCATGTAATTGTATTGTTTGTAACACAAAAGATACATGCTTGAGAGGATGGATACCCCATTTTCCATTACGTGATTATTTCACATTGCATGCCCGTATCAAAACATCTCATGCACCACATAAATATATACACCGCCGGGCGCGGTGGTTCACGCCTGTAATTTCAGCACTTTGGGAGGCAGAGGCAGGCCGATCACGAGGTCAGGAGTTCAAGACCAGCCTGGCCAACATGGTGAAACCCCATCTCCACTAAAAATACAAAAATATTAGCCAGGCACAGTAGCAGGCGCCTGTAATCCCAGCTACATGGGAGGCTAAGGCAGGAGAACTGCTTAAACCTGGGGGGCAGAGGCTGCAGTGAGCCAAGATCATGCCATTGCACTCCAGCCTGGGTGACAGAGCAAGATTCCGTCTTGGGAAAAAAAATACATATATATGTATACACACACACGCCTACCATGTACCCACGAAAATTAAAAATAAAAAAATTTAAAAATAATAATTTAGTGTTTTTCTCTCATTTTGCTAATCTGAAATGGGAAAATATAAAACTGCTTTGGGGCTCAAAGGTAAAATGACTGTGAGCAAACAAAATAATGACTGGGGGAAAATACTGCCTTTACCAGCTAAACATTTACAGATTAAAATAACCCATGACTTTTCCCTTTAGATTTCTCCCCCAGACCACTAAGACAAATACAAATAACACCCCACAAGCAATATCTTATTGGGGGGAAAAAAAGAAAGACTGCTCTATAAAGTGTTCTCATCAGGCAACCTTTCTCTTGCTCTAAGACTCAATCACTAAGGACAGGAGTGGGCTGGTCTACTCAGCCTATCCCTGCTCCCAGACACGGTGTTATTTAGACTTGACTGATGACCTAATTATCTCAGGCACTTTTTCAGGTTCTATAGAGTAGAAAGATGTTAAGGAAAACTGACATAAAAAACAATCTTCAAGTGTATTATGGAAATTTTAAAAATATATACAAGAAAAATACAATCAATACCTATGTACGGATTATCCATCTTAATAACCAGTAACACCCCCAATCATGTTTCATTTTTATCATTGTTCACTCCTTCCCCAATGCATTCTTTTTTTATTTTTATTTTTTGAGACGGAGTCTCGCTCTGACGCCACGCGTAGATTTGCAGCGGACTTTGCGGATCTCGGCTCACTGCAACCTCCGACTCCTGGTTCAAGGATTCTCCTGCCTCAGCTCCCGAGTAGCTGAGATTACAGGCATGCACCACCACACCCAGCTAATTTTTGTAGTTTTAGTAGAGACAAGGTTTCACCACGTTGGCCAGGATGTCTTAATCTCTTGACCTCGTGATCCCGCCGCCTCAGCCTCCCAAAGGGCTGGTATTACAGACATGAGGACCCGCACCCGGCTGAATTCTTTTCTCTCTTTTTTTTTGAGACGGAGTTTCACTCTGTTGCCTAGGCAGGAATGCAGTGGTGCATCACAGCTCAAGGCAACCTCAGCCTCTTGGCTCAAGCAATCCTCCACCACCGCCTCGTGAGTAGCTGGGACAATAAGTGTCCATGACACATGCTTAGCCTTTTTTGTTGTTTTTTGGGTTTTTTGTTGAGATGGACTCTCGCTCTGTCGCCCAGGCTCCAGTGCAATGGCAGCTCACTGCAACCTCTGCCTCCCAGGTTCAGCGATTCTCCTGCTTCAGCCTCCCAAGAAGCTGGGACTACATGAGCATGCCCACACACTTGGCTAATTTTTTGTATTTTAGTAGAGGCAGGATTTTTCGCATGATGGCCAGGCCTAGTCTCGAACTCCTGACCTCAAGTGATCCACCCACCTCGCCGTGTCCCGAATTGCTGGGATTATAGGTGTAAACCACTGCAGCCCAGCCAAACAGCATTTTCTTTTCTCCTTTATTTTTTTTGAGAAGTCTTGCTCTGTCACCCAGGCTGGAATGCAGTGGCACGATATCAGCTCACTGCAAGCTCTTCTCCCGGGTTCATGCCATTCTCCTGCCTCAGTCTCCCGAGTAGCGTGAGACTACTGGCCACCCGTCACCCATGCCCCGGCTAATTTTTTTGTATTTTTTAGTAGAGACGGAGGTTTCACCATTGTAGCCATAATGGTCTCATCTCCTGACCTCGTGATCCGCCCGCCTTGGCCTCCCATTTCTTTTGAGAAGGGGTCTCCCTCTATCGCCCTGGTTGGAATACAGTGGCGTGATCTTGGCTTACTGCAACTTCTGCCTCTCGGGTTCAAGCGATTCTCTCTTCTCAGCCTCCTGAATAACTGGGTTACAAGCGCGTGCCACCACAGCCAGCGAATTTTTGTATTTTAGTAAGAGATGGGGTTTTACCACGTTGGTCAGGCTGGTCTTAGACTCCTGACCCTCGTGATCTGCCGCCTCAGCCTCCCAAAGTGCTGGGATTACAGGTGTGAGCCACCGTGCCTAGCCATTTTTTGTAGAGACAAGGTTTTGCCATGTTGCTCAGGCTGGTCTCAAGCTCAAGTGATCCTCCCTGCTTCTGGCGTCCCAAATTGCTAGGATTACAGGCACGAGGTACAGCGTCAGGCTTTTTTTTTTTTTTTTTTTTTTGAGACAGGGTCTCACTCTGTTGCCCAGGCTGGAGTGCAGTGGTGCAATCACAGCTCACTGCAGTCTTAACCTCCCCATCTCAGGTTATCCTCCCATCTCAGCTTCCCAAGTAGTTGGAGGTCCAAATGTGTGCCACCATGCCAAGCTAATTTTTGTATTATTGTATTTTTTTTTAAGTGGCTGGGTTTCGCCATATTGCCAAGACTGGTCTCAAACTCCTGGGCTCAAGTGATCTGCCCACTTTGGCCTCTCAAAGTGCTGGGATTACTGGGCTGAATTCATATTAAAGCAAATCCAGGCTGGGTGCAGCGGGTCACGCCTGTAATCCCAAAGTTTTGGGAGGCGGAGGTGGGCGGATCACATGAGGTCAGAAGTTCAAGACCAGCCTGGCTAACATGGTGAAACCCTGTCTCTGCTAAAAATAGAAAAATGAACTGGGCCTGGTGGCACACACCTGTGATCCCAGCTACTCAGGAGGCTGAGGCAGGAGCATTGCTTGAACCTGGGAGGCAGAGGCTGTAGTGAGCCAAGATCATGCCACTGCACTCCAGGCTGGGTGACAGTAAGACTCTGTCTCAAAAAATAAATAAATGAATGAATAAATAAAGCAAATCCAGACATCCCATTTAATCCTAAAACATTTAACTTTAATAGGCCAAAGGTGGCAGATCACTATGTTAAATGGCAGTGGGAACACAGAGGGAGGAATTGATAATTTTAGTGAGGATGGGAATGGTAAGAAAGACTTCAGCCCAGGAGTGCGACTCACATCTGTCATCTCAGCACTTTGCAAGGCTCAGGTAGGAGGACTGCTTGATGCCAGGAATTTGAGACCAGCCTTGTCAACAAGAGTGAGACTATGTCTCTACATAAAAATTTAAAATTAGCTGGGTGTGGTGGCAGGCGCCTGTAGTCCCAGCTACCGGGGAGGGCAAGACGAGAGGATCACTTGAGCTCATGAGTTAGAGGCTGCAGTGGGCTGTGATCATGCCACTGCACTCCGGCCTGGCAACAGAATTAAAACCAAACTCAAAAAAAACAAAAAAAAAAAAAACAAAAAGACAACAAAGAGAAACTAAGGACTTTCACAGGGAGTCTGGAAGAAGTTTGTTAGGCAAAGAAAGAACATTGCAGAATCAATAAAAGTAAAATAAAATCCTGAGGAAATCCTGAAGATGGGCTTCTTATGGAAAATATGATAAATTCTCTGTAATCAGAGCAAGGGGTGAAGAATCGGAAAAAAAAGAGGGGAAAGACATTGGGTGAAAGAGGAAGGTGAGTGTAAAGACATGAGATATGTAAGAGGAGGACCAGAAAGTATGCACTGTTTTTATATATTTTTACACCTAAGGAGGCCAAAGTGAGTAACGCAGTTCAAGATGATAGTTGCTAACAGGCCAATGAGGTATTATAAGACACGCTCATTGGTAAGTAGCTGTAGGGAGAAAATACTATCGTTGTTTCTATCATTTCTTTGATTACAAAGCTATCAATGATGTTTATAAATAATCAGAAGTAGACCAGGCATGGTGGCTCACGCCTGTAATCCCAGCACTTTGGGAGGCCGAGGTGGGTGGATCACGAGGTCAGGAGATGGAGACCATCCTGACTAACAGGATGAAACCCCGTCTCTACTAAAAAATGCAAAAAATTAGTCGGGCGTGGTGGCCGACGCCTGTAGTCCCAGATACTCAGGAGGCTGAGGCAGGAGAACGGGGTGAACCCGGGAGGCAGAGCTTGCAGTGAGCAGAGATCGCGCCACTGCACTCCAGCCTGGGCAAAAGAGCCAGACTCCGTCTCAAAAAAAAAACAATAATAATCAGAAGTGTTCTCGGTTTACACTGCACAAATTATCCTATTCAGATTATTTCGGTTCTTGCTCACCAACAATCTCTTTTCTTTCTCACACTTCTCTGGTTTTCTCCAAATTCCATCTCACAAAGGGGTAACTTTTTCTAGCAACTGATGTAATTCCATAAGCTGTGGGAGCTAGTCATAATTTAAAACTGTTAAACACTTTCCAGTCACCTCTATTGTCAACACATATTCTGCCTTACCCTCCCTGTACATGAGCACTGCTGATTTTCCTGTTCTCTTCCTTTATTCCACTGGTAGGTCTTTTAAGATCCTCCAGCATTTCATAATACACATCTCTACACACAATAAAGCGTTTCTTGGCCGGGGGCAGTGGCTCACCCCGGTAATCCCAGCACTTTGGGAGGCCGAGGCAGGCGGATCACTTGAGGTCAGAAGTTCGTGACCAGCCTGGCCAACATGGTGAAACCTCGTCTCTACTAAAAAAACCACAAAAATTAGCCGGGCGTGGTGGCGGGCGCCTGTAATCCCAGCTACTCGCGAGGCTGAGGTAGGAGAATTGCTTGAACACGGGAGGCGGAGGTTGCAATGAGCCGAGATCGCGCCATAGCACTCCAGCCCGGGGAGAAGAGGGAAACTCCGTCTCAATAAATAAATAAATAATAAATAAATAAATAAAAATAAAGCAAAGCGTATCTTTAAGATAACATGCTACATTTCCAAATTAATGTCGTTTGCTCTTACGATCTACTCAAATACTAACAGGAGAAATGAACAAATTTAGAACTTGGATCTGAAGATGCTTCTCATATGGCCTTAGCCATAAACACTTGAGTGCGGCGAGAAGCTCATTAAGGTTGGGGTCTTTGCCTCTTTCTGCTTCAACTGGGAGCTTGCTCTTCGCTCTTGCCCTCTCAATTATCTACACTGAAGAAAGTGAGGAAAGGAAAAAACCTGAAAATAAGCTGCTTGCTGTTCTCCAAAAATGCAGCCAACAGTGCCATAAATCTCAGGATATCCTCGCCGGGACTAACGCTGGGGATAAGTAGCAAATTAGGAAGTCAGGCGCGAGTCCTTTAGGCTGAGAAAGCAGGGTCACTATCACTCACTTGGGGCAGACACCATAAGCAACTCGGAAAGGTCCGGGTACATGCGGTCCTCTTGCAACTGACGGTCGATGAGCCGTCCAGCATTTTCCAGAGCTTCCTGCAGGGCTGCGGCCGATGTAGAGGCCGGCATCACTGCGCCCAGCAAAGAAGACGGCATCTCGGAAATCGTAGACACCAGGGTCCAGAAAAAGTCAAAAGCCAGGGAGAAACAAGACAAGATCCAAGAACTCAGCTTAGATCCGCCGCCAACGGCGCGCGCGCCAAACGAGCGCCTCGGCGCCTCAACATGACGCACTTCCGGCTCATATGGTGGGGGACTGGAAGACGTCATTCTGGCCTGGGAAGAGGAAGCTGTTGGGAGAGGGCTAGAGGTTGGGGGTGGAGCCAAGAGTCTGCCGATGCTTTGCAGGGGGTTGAGGGTTTTCAGGTGTGGAAGGGTAAAAGTAGAGTAGGTTATTTAGGGAAGGGACGGAGGGAAGGACGGGAAGGGAAGGGTAAAGGGGAGGGAACTGGGAAGGAGAGGGGCGGGATGGGGTTTGGGTGGGGTGGGGAGGAAGGAGGGAGGAGGGATACGCTAGGTGGGAGCTAGGTCGTGTGTCTGGCCTAGGAGACTGGTCTGGTTCCGTTGGTTTAAGCGCGTGCTCTACCTGAGTCTTGGAACTTCCCGCGTCGGAATGCCCTAACCGCAGCTATATGAGTGCGCGACTCCAAGTAACTGCTGTTATGAGAGTAAAGAATTGGTAGCTCCCTGTCACAGAGAGGGATATGGACCAATATCTCACTATATTCTTCACGGGCTTCAGTGTAAATTAGAATTCATCAGGCTTTTTCATTTGCATGTCGCTGTCTTTTGACTTTGTGGCCCCTTAGTATAAAATACGTGTTTCAGGAGGAGCTGAGTGCCGGTGGACCGCTGCCGGGCTTTTTATCGTGGCAGAGAGACCCACTTCATCTTTTCATTCCCAGCACTAGTACAGGAACTTGTATGAGATAGGAACCCAAGAGATCATACAATCCTAAGAAACTGAATACTTGCCTTGTGCCTGGTGCTGGGACTATCAAACTAACAAAATGTTTCCTGTCCTTAAGGTGCTTCAAGCAGAGACAAAGGACTTCACTATAATTTTTCTATTTGGGTAGGTATGAACTGTAGCAGAAGGATAGGAGAAAGCAGTGGGGTAAAAGAGGCTTCATTTACTACAGAAGGCAACCTGAGTGGGTAAATCACAGCACTTTTTAGAAAGCGGTCCTTATTTAGAATCTCACCTAAGAGCTTCCAGTTACGTTCTTCAGAATTTAACAAATCAGTAACTGAATTACTCTAAATTGGTCTTTTGCCATTTGAATTACATTTTTACTCCCTCAAAGACTTGACTATATTTCTGAAAATTGTATGTTCTATGATGTTACCAAGCTACACTTAAAATTTGACATAGACAATATACCAAGAAAAACTAGATTTTTTTATTATTGTTATATAAATAGGCAGTTGGGTCTCTAGCTATCAGTTTATTTGGTATACCATAGATTGAAAAGTGGTGGCCTGGCACCGAGTTTGTTTTTAATTTGAGACAAAATACACAATTGAAAGTTTTCAGCTCCACATATTGGAAGATTGAACAATGTTGGTGTGATATTCCTGCATAGCAACAAAGCTCCCCAAAGTGTAATCTCACTAACTTAATTCATTGGCATATTGCCTGTGGCTGCTTTCCCACTACAACTGCTAAACCAAGTAGTTTACACAAGACTGCAAAGCCTAAAATACGGACTCTGGCACTTTACAGGAAAAGTTTGCTGACCTCTTCCTTAGAACATGTAATTATGAATTATTTTGGTCTTAGGACCCCCTTGATACCCTTAAAAATTATTCAGGATTCCAGAGAGTTTTCGTTACATATTGGTTGCATGTATTAATATTTGTGAATAACTCGGCCGGGCACGGTGGCTCACGCCTGTAATCCCAGCACTTTGGGAGGCCGAGGCGGGTGGATCACGAGGTCAGGAGATCGAGACCATCCTGGCTAACACGGTGAAACCCCGTCTCTACTAAAAATGCCAAAAAAAAAAAAAAAGCCGGGCGTGGTGGCGGGCGCCTGTAGTCCCAGCTACTCGGCAGGCTGAGGTAGGAGAACGGCGTAAACCCCGGAGGCGGAGCTTGCAGTGAGCCGAGATCGCGCCGCTGCACTCCAGCCTGGGCGACTGAGCGAGACTCCGTCTCAAAAAAAAAAAAAAAAAATTTGTGAATAACTCATAAACTGAAAATTAAAATGTTTAACAATGTATTTAAAAGCATAACAAGGCCAGGCGCAGTGGCTCACGCCTGTAATCCCAGCACCCAGTGCTTTGGGAGGCCAAGGCATGTGAATCACGAGTTCAGCCTGGCCAATATGGTGAAACCCCGTCTGTACTAAAATACAAAGATTACCTGGGCATGGTGGCATGCGCCCGTAGTCTCAGCTGTTCAGGAGGCTGAGGCAGGAGAATCGCTTGAACCTGGGAGGCAGAGGTTGCAGTGACCCAAGATCGTGCCACTACACTCCAGCTTGGGCAACAGAGTAAGACTCCATCACAAAAAGAGAGAGAGAAAAGAAAAAAGCATAACAAGCTTAATACATGTTAATATAACACTTTTTTAAAATGAGAAATCACTATAGTTTCTAAAACTAAAACAGGGAGAAGAATGCGATTATTTCATATTTTTGCAAATGTCTTTAGTGTCTTGATCAGTAATGGATAGCTGAATTCTCGTATCTCTATCTGCTGTCAACTAAAGAAAAATAAGCCACTTTTAAAGAATTAAAGTCAGTTTAATTCAGAGTCAGGATTGCAACCTTTCAGAGAGTTTCTGTTAGACTGTTCCAAAGTAGTGTTTTAGCCCACAGCTTACATATCAGGAGTTGGAAGTTCTGCATGTGCTCAGAAATTACATTAAACATGCTCATAAACTGGGTATAGTGACTCACACCTGTAATTCTAGCACTTTGGGAGGCCTATGCATGAGGATCTCTTGAGGCCAGGCATTCAAAACCAACCTGGGCAATGTAATGAGACCCCCATCTCTAAAAGCAAGATCAAAAAAAAATTTTTTTTTTTTTAATTTGCTGGGTGTGGACCTGTAGTCCCAGCTACTTGGTAGGCTGAGGCAGGAGGATCACTTTAGCCCAGGAGTTCCGGGTTGCAGTGAACCATGACTATGCCACTGCATTCTAGTCTGGGTGATAAAAAGTGAGACTCTGTCTCAGAAAAAAAAAAAAAAAGTCATAAATTACATTACAGCAAAATCTCATCCAAGTTTGGGTGTAAGAGTACATCTGGTTATAGATTAGATTACAGAGGCACAACCATGAATCCTGTGGGACACTATTTTATATAGTGGAAGAAGCAAGGGGTGGGAACACTGAACTTACCTTTTTTAAAAAAATGCATTGATTCAAGCAAGAGATGTGGGAACCTGTGCTCTAACCTGCCTATTGTTTCCAGGGCATTCTTCTGGAGGTCTACACTCAGTCATTGAGTTGGGCTTTGTGAAATTCTGCTGGCAAAGGATTTTGTTAAGTTCTGCTGGTAAGCAGAATGAGCAAACCTGGTTTTTTATGTCTATTACTTTGTCTAGCATGTTGTGAACCTGGGAGGGCGGAGCTTGCAGTGAGCCAAGATCGCGCCACTGCACCCCAGCCTGGGCGACAGAGCAAGACTCTGTCTCAGACAAAAAAAAAAAAAAAAAAGAAAGAAAGAAAAGCTGGCCTCACTGGACACCGTGGCTCACGCCTGTAATCCCACCACTTTGGGAGGCCGAGGCAGATGGATCACTGAGGTCAGAAGTTCGTGGGTAGCCTGGCCAACCTGGCCAACATGGTAAAACTCCGTCGTACTAAAAATACACAAAAATAGCTTTGGGCATGTGTGTGCAAGCCTGTATCCCAGCTACTCAGGAGGCTAAGCCAGGAGACATCACTTGAACCCGGGAGGCAGAGGTTGCAGTGAAGCCGAGATCGTTATGCCATTGCATCCCAGCCTGGGCCTACAAGAGCGAAACTCCATCCTCAAAAAAAGAAAAAAAAAAAAAAAAGGAAAGAAAAAGCTGGCCTCAGGTTACATATTTAGGAAAAGTACAAG